ATAGGCTGCTCCATTTTACTGTTAAATTTAATTTAACTAATAGCGATTTAAATATTTAATAGCATTCATGGTCAAGTCACAGTGTTGTTTTACGTCTTACAGTCTGATGGACGCAGTTGGATGTAGGCCCTTCTCTCGGCTATGCTTATGCACAAATTCGCAAAAATTTTGTGTTATTAAATTATATCATTTTAATCACAAGGTAACAACAATATGCATGCACTGTTATTACTGCATAAAACGATTTTAATACAGCGCGTCATCCTATTAACATATTTATGTCCTTTCAATCTTCATTCACGGTTGGGAAACTTGGGAAATTCCTCATTTTATATTCACTTCGTAAGAAGTCGGACTTTCATTCTACTCACAGAAGTGGGTCACTCAGGTGAGCTTAGAAGTCTTCGCTAAAGAAGTTCGTATTGGATTTTCCTTGAAAGGTAAATCCAATTACACTTTTACTTTATTGGTGCATCAAATTACGCTAACACTGAAATACCTACTATGCAGATGCGTTGGTTGAAAAGTTTTTACTCGATTTAAAGCTCACATGGATATTATCTGTTAGGCTTTTAATTATTGAAAATTGATTTTTGATGATTCTTTTTTTGTTGGAAAGGATATATCCCAAGGGTGGTACCATGATAAGGAAACCCAGATCTGATGATAGCAGCCCAGAGAAATCGAGGGCAATGCTCAAATGTTATAGGCGTTGACAATGTTTTTTTAGTTTTTGTTTGAAGTCGGTTATTTTTTGTTTAATTTAGCATACGACACAGCACAGACAGGACGTAATACCTACGGATGTGTGGACCAGTCAAATACCGCAAGTGTTAACATTCTATCAGTAATATAAGTTGAATCTTATGCCGTATACTAGATTTAAATATAAGAGGGCGTTTTTTTGTTTTGACAAACATAATTTTCTGGTATGATGATATGAACGCACACCTTCATTTTTGTGGGCACCCATCCCAAATTGCAAACATTTTCGGTTTAAATTCCGATATTAAAAATATAATCGATCAATCTATTTGAAAAACTAAAAGTCAAAGTATGTCAACAGCAAGGTAGCGGCCACTGCTCCAAAGCATTAGAAGTTAGTCGTTTAAATAATATCTATATATAATATAGATTTATAAACGATAAATATTATAAACCAATATTATTAACGTTACAGATAACATTTATTCAATGTTTAAGTTTTATTCCAAATAGGGTGGTTTTAGAAAATACTAGAGTAAAATACTTTCTCTGTAGTGATAGAAGGGAAGCGTTCGACGTTCAAAGCTATTAGGTTAAATCCATTTCCTTTAAGAAGGAATTAAGAACTAAGTGTAGAAAGGTCTGCTCTCTTTTAGGAACTTCTGACCACTATCTGGTGAATTCTGTGTCGTCCTATTCTCCACCGGATCACAAATGCGACACTTTTTTGCTTCTTATCCTTGGCGGCAAATTTGTTTTGCTTCTGGAGATCTGCCGAGCTACGCGGAAGCCGTAACCGATGTGGGGCGTCAAGCAATGGAGTATTTCATCCCGTTTGCTGATGTAGCTATCGGTGGCAAAGCTCGCCCATGGTTTAACGCTGAATGAGCACAGGCCGAAAAGAACAAGCATTCGATTATCCTAGGTTGAAGCTCGACATCGGAAAGCTCCGGCCATTAACTTGAAGAAGGAAGCTTTTAACCGGGCAGCTAAGTCCTATAAAAAGATGTTGCGGGAAGCCGGGTTCGACCGTATTCAACAAATTGGCACGAAGCCCTCTGTCCAACCATCTGGCAGCAGAGCTTTTGGTCTCTTGCCAAAGCGATCGAATCTAAATTCTGTCGGCCATCATTGCCTCCGCTGGTAAAACCGGATGGATTACTAGCACATGCGGGTAAAGAGAAGGCCGATTTATTTGCCCACAATTCACGTCTGGACCCTGGGAGTAATACATCACCCTCACTCCCTCACTGCGAAACCTCCATGACAGAGGTTCAAATAAAAAACCGCGAGGTCTTAAGAGCCTTAAGGAGTCTAGACGTGAACAAAGCTTGTGGACCAGACGGTATACCGTTAGTTCTGGAGGCTTGTGCACCCAAGTTGTCTCCTGTTCTGACACGTTTGTTTCGCCTCACATTTGAGACTGGAGTAGTCCCTAAGTCCTGGAAGTTGGCGAATGTACAGCCCATTCCTAAAAAGGGTAGTCGTGCTGTTTCTGCCAATTACAGACCAATTTCAATTACCTTCATACTCTGTAAGACTATGGAGCGTATATTGAACGCTCGTCTCATGGCGTACCTAGAACAGAATGATCTTCTCAGCGACCGCCAGTACGGAGATCGCCGAAATCGGTCAACTGGGGACGTTTTAGTGTACGCCACTCACCTTTGGGGCCAGGCCCTCGAGAACAATGGTGAGGCAGTTGCGGTTTCCCTAGATATCTCGAAGGCCTTTGACAGGGTCTGGCATGCCAGCCTCCTTAGCAAGCTTCCAGCCTATGGCATATCTCCTGGCCTAATCGGTTGGGTGAAGGACTTTCTGAGTGAGCGGTCTCTCCGAGTAGTCGTCGAAGGCTGTTCATCCGAGCCACTGACGACTAATGCCGGAGTTCCTCAGGGGTCCGACCTTTCTGCAACTCTTTTCCTACTGCATATCAACGATCTGCTCATGTCCGGTATCTATGGGTACGCGGACGACAGCACAGTTGTGGAGAGATACCAACCGAGTCTTAGAGTTAGTAGAGATCACATCCAGTCCGAAAGAGAGGCCATGGTAGAGCGTATGAATCTTACTTTGCAGGCGGTCTCTGAATGGGGCGATGTCAATCTTGTGAGATTCAACGCCCCCAAAAGCGTGACTTTTTTCCGGAAAAAGAAGCCTCTTCAACGTGGCTCCTACTTTCCAAAATGTGTCCTTGGATTATACCGACCGCGTTCAGTTGTTGGGAGTCGAAATATCCTCAAACCTCAACTTTGGGCGGTTCATTGAGTCTAAAGCCAGGGCAGCTGCAAGTAAGTTAGGTGTCCTTGCAAAGATGCGACGGTACTTCACGCCGGGACAGCTTCTTTCGCTATTCAAAGCTCAAGTCCGATCGTGTGTTGCCATATCTGGGCTAGGGCTGCAAAATGCCATCTGGCTGCCTTGGACTTAATGGAGAGACGTGCGGAAAGGCTTATTAGAGACCGTAACTTGGTTAAAACCAACCTTACTAGCCTTGAGCACAGGCGCAGAGTAGCCAGCTTCTTAGTCTTCTACAGGATGCATTTTGGAGAGTGTGCGTTGGAGTTGCATGATTTGAATCCTCCTGCTCCTTTCCATCATCGGACAACTAGGCGTTCGGCGAGGATTCAACCTTATGCTGTCGACGTTGCCAGAACAGGAACAAAGCGATTTGCTTCGTCATTTATCATCCGTACAACTAAGCATTGGAACAACCTGCCGGCGTCCGTCTTTCCGTCCGATTACAACGTAGGCGTCTTCAAGGCAAGAGTGAATAGGTTTTTACTGAGCTAGCGCGCTTACCATCAAAGGCTGCATCACCACTTACCATCAGGTGGGATGGCGGTCAAGTGCTGGCCAGTTCTAAATAAAAAAAAAGATAGGAACGCACGGATGGAATGGAATTAAAACCATTATCACTAAAAGATCTATAATAAAAATATTCTAGGCAGTGAAATTCCATGAATCGTTCAGTGAATGCATTTTCATAATAAAGCTTCATGAAATCGACGTTATTTGATAAAATTCCTCTCTTACAATATTTAATAAAATGTTTTAGAATATATTATTTTTAACACAAGACATTAACAAAATTACTCTGATTGGACGTCCTACGTTTCATTTTTATGAATTATCGGTATAAATTCGTATAATTTGTACAATTTCCAACGAAAGTTGACATAATTTAATAGCATCAGAAAGGTGTCATATAAACTTCTATAAAATATAATTTGGTATGTTTGAGAAATGCATATGAAAAAATGTTTTTGTTAGATTATTAAATATACGTTACACTCACAAAGCGTGGGTAATATCACTACATTCTGTGGTAGGGCTACGAAGGAGCTTTCATCATTGTCATTCGTGGCGCTAACACAGACGGTAGAAGACCCGCATGAAATGGTTGGATCACGTTTTTGCGTTTCTTCGGGTAAGTGAGGTACATTTTGCCCGTGGCATATTATTTATTTCATAGACTTGTCATCAGTTGAAAAGTGTGTTTGATGACCAATTTCTTCAAATAATACAGACGGTATAATAATATTATAGATAATAATATTTGCACAGACATATTCAGAAAAGTAAAACTGTATACACCAGCGCTACCAGACGTTCCGATTTCGGCAGGACGTCCCAATTTTTGGGGTTATTCGACGTTGCAGCTAAGTAATTTGCCTGTAGTTGTTAGTGCCGATCGAGTTTCGGAGCAAGAGAATTTTGCATAAAGAATATATGTTATTGATTATGCAAAATTCTCTTGCTCTGTCATCGTTGTAATGTTACTGTAATTTGAAACAACAAAAATATTAAAAAATAAAACACCGATATATTTTTTTTTTCATTATGACCCGCTTTTCTTAATCATGAGGTTTCATTGGTATTAATTATGGTATTAATGCGTTATGACCAATGATCTCTAATAATATAGATGACGCTGATGATACTGCACATCGTTCAAAAATTATTGCGCTTGACATTATATAAGTGAATGTGATAGATGATATAGAACGTACGATACGGAAACAGATAGCAATCTATAGCATTCCAATTTAAGGACACCAATTGGTGTAATTTGACCACCTCAATTACGATGCGCTACTGACATATCTTTGTATATAATATATTTATGTCATCTTTTTCTGTTTGGTTTCGCAAAAGCGAATATTCCAAAAGGACCGATGTGAAGTCCTTTTTTACCGGTGATGAATATACTTACCGCGTTGATCATATCAGGCATACAATTATATCGCGCCAGTCTTGATTTATTTCCCAACTGTAAGTTATAGCGTACTTACTCTTCAGGCAGGCTTGGAGCGCCTTCCTCCTGCCCCGGAGCGTTGATGTGGTACACGCAGAAGTTCTCCAAGAGAGCGCGCATGTCCACGAAGTTGAAGAACGGTTGGAAGCAGATATCTGTCCAAAGAACATTTATATTGGTGACAAATAGGCAAAAGAAATATAAATATATCTAATTGAGATTTGTTCTAACACGGTGAGTTAAGTTGAGACAGATCTATTCGGGTTCTACTTATTTGCGCCATGGTGACTATCGCTGATTTCTTTTTTGTTGGAATCAGATATATATTTTACATAAAATAGAAGTTTCCTTAATCGGCAGGTGCGCATAACAAAATCATGTAAAAAATTAGTTAAAGCTATTTCTGAATTGTATTGAAAGTTCTCCATTTAGGAATGGACCCCAAGCTGAAAAACAATTAAGCATAATTAAGTTTTTATTGTTCCCAGATTCTAAACGTAAAAAGATACGTGCAATTACAAATTCAATTATTCAATTATTTTATTATTATTTTTTATATATATAATATAATTATTTTATTAACGAAAAACAAAACCGACTTCAAATTTCTCGCTCTATATTCATTTTGTAATTAATTAATTTTCAGGAGTTTCCTACGTATCAAACCACCAAAGAAATTAATATGGGACCAAATGGAAAACAACAGCTTTGAAATAAAAAAAAGAATCATCAAAATCGGTTCACTCAGTCGACAGTTTTGAGGTAACAAACATAAAAAAAAATACAGTCCAATTGAGACTCCTTTTTTTTGAAGTCGGTAGAAAATTAAAATAATTTTGTGCCATTACTTTTAGACTTTTTTTTTTTAGTAAACGTAATAACATAGAGGTTTAAGTAATGTCCCTGCAATATTTCTACATAATTTCCATGTTTCCACGGTCACTAAATTACACGAATTTAATAACTTCCCGACATTTCAAACATGTTACAGCATCCACCAATTTTGTATTTTATAGGTGTGGTAATAACTTTCACCTTTAAAATAAAGTTTATTCAGAGAAAAAGCGAACAAAATGCGTACAACTTTAATTCCTTCGATAAGTTACATTTTTATAAACCGTTACCTCGCAAATTTGAAAAACCAAAATCACTCCTTTCGATATTCCGTAACATTATTTTGCCATTACGCCATAAAACATTAAAAAACGTAAGGTTACTTTTAAAGTCACCAATCGATGTAAATAAAAATGTTCCTATTCAGTCCGTTAACCGATTATTTTCAAATTTTTACACATTGCTTTTCCCGCTTTTATTCGCAGTAAGTATTTTGAATTCGATATTGTTCTTATTTGACTAATTAGCAATAAGTGTTGCAAAATAAATATATAAGAAAAATCCGTAATGTCTTTTTTGTCTTCTCATGTTATAAGAAACACAGCAACGCGTAGTAGGGGATCGCTAGTAACATGACTGAATATATTTTATGACTTGCCTTGTAATGCCAATTTTGAATAATTTGAGTAGTACGTATTGAGACGTATGGAATAAAGTAATTGCGTCCATGTGCTTCGCCTCTTGAAATCTACTTCGCCCCGCGGAATCACGCATAAAAATTGCGAAAAACATAGAATAAAATAAAATAATATCCCCGAAGATTGAAATATGCAGAAGTAATATAAGATGCTTAGATAAGATCGACAATTTCTTAATAACAGTTCATTATGACGTTGAAAGCATAGGTGCGATAGGTTTAGAAGGAACGTAGGATGTGCATCTGAAGGAATAGGCAATCCGATAAGAAACACGTAAGGCGACTTCATTTCCCCCTTACTGAAACGACAGGAACAGACGAGGGCGAACTGGAGTGCAAGAGCCAAACGCCCCGGTAGCCACGAGATGGCGGTGTGACAGGAAATTTCAAGCTCAGCGGCGCTGGGTATAGCAATTTCCTGTCAAGTCAACTCTTAAAGAAATTTATTATTGTGACGTAAACAGACGTACAAGTAAAAAGCAAGCAGCGCAGGCAATAAACAGAACCTAACAAATCCTCCCAAAATACATTTTAAGATTTTGTACAATTTTTTAAAATTATTCATTTTAAAGATACAAGATTACATATCTTATATCTTTAAATAAATTTAAGTTTAATTAAGAAAACCATTTTACACATTAAAGTTTACATTAAAATTAAGAGAAGGAAATATTATATGAAGTTTCCTTTACAAGCAGGTGACATTGGCTATGAAGGTTAAAAAGATGCAATACGATAACGTTACCTATTTGATATCGCTATAAATTTCAACCTCACCATTATATCGTGATTTCAAGCTTTCATTGAAATCCTATTTAAACTATATTCTCAAAATATGAACGAAACAAAACAACAGAAAAAGAAAACTTCTTCCCGTCCGCTTTCAAATCAATTATGTATTAAAATATTGCAACGACGATGATAATTAATATTGCAATTTCTTTTTCCATAAGTTCTATTTTTTGAACAGTGCATAGATTTTATTTTAAAAATATTAAAAAACAATACACTGAGTCATAGGACTGCACGTATAAAGAACTTTTTAGTTTCAAAATGTTGTAAACATTATCTAAGCGGTTTTGGCCATATTTTTACAACCAGCCACCTGCCTGACGTTAAACCTCCTTGGGAAACAAACACCCAGATCAAATTTCAACTGTTTAACTATCACGGTTCATGAGATACAGCCTGTTGACAGAGGGACAGACAGACAGCAGTGTCTTAGTAGTAGGGTCCCATTTTACCCTTTGGGTACCGAACCCTAAAATGGACCCAGAGATATAGTGCTGCACGGTAGACACGGCCAACTTAAAAGGGTCTCTGAGTTACACCGATTGCATGATCCACTACAATATCCCTTAATCGTCGTAATGGGGAGAAGACGGTTATTATTTGACTAATTCCTCAGCAAGGTACAGTGCGTAACAAAACTGTGACATGCATGCAATTTAATGCATTTAGGTTGATGGTTAGCATATAATCCATTGCATTATTATAGTGACTTATTAGGGTTCCGTACCCAAAGGGTAAAACGGGACCCCATTACTAAGACTCCGCTGTCTGTCTGTCCGTATTTCACCCGGCTGTATCTCATGAACCATACATAGTTAGAACATAGACAGTTTGAAATTTTCACAAATGATGTATTTCTGCTGCCGCTATAACAACAAAAACAAAAAAAATATATATAAATAAGTGGGGCTCCCATAAAACAGACATGATTTTTTGCCGTTTTTATACATAATGTTGATTGTAGTAGTGATTTTTGGTAATAAGTAAGTGTAATACATCTAAATTGAATAAAGATATTTAAATTTGATGGTTTTTTTTATGTGACAAAGTGGCAAACGAGCTGGCGGTTCACCTGATGCTAAGTGATAACCGCTGCCCATGGACATTTGCAACACCTGTAGGGTTGCAAATGCGTTGCCATCTTTAAATAAAGTGGGCCCGGCTACCTCTGTCACCAGACGAAAAGCAGAAGTATAACACTTCTAAATTACGCCGGTATTCTGTGAGGTCGTGGTACTTACCCGGACGGACCTGCCCCCCCGAATGTCTCTTAAATTAAAGCGGAACTATTATCTGGTCAGCGGTCTTTTGATCTTCATGACGTAATTTCAAGTGTATTTCATCAAAAGATGAAGAAATTCATAAAAATATTCACCAAAGACGAAATATTCGGAATTTTTAATAAATTTTTAATTTTAAAATTTTTGTTAAATACCCGTGCGAAGCCGGGGCGGGCCGCTAGTTTATATTAAAATTAATAATGCAATCTATCTAGCGATATTCAGCATTAGGTTGGTATTTGCAGTATCACTTCATCAAAATGCTATCTACAACTACACAATAATTACCATAAGATCTATTATAGATCTTATGGGTTTTTGCGTTTGAGCCTTCGTGGCATTTGCACTTCATTTCTCTGACCACTCACACTCGGATCTCTGAGTGTACAGGGATCATTTTAAAGAGATTATAATATACTCACGGTTGAGTCTCAATATATAAAAATGAATCGCTAAATGTGTTGCTAAGCGCAAATCTCGAGATCAGCTGAACCGATGTCGCTAATTCTTGTTTTATAATATTCACTTCGAGGATGGTTCTTACGGAGAAAAATTTTTTAAATTGCCTGAAGAAGTCTACAAACAAAACTTTTCTATATTCCTGTATAAAAGAGTCCTAACAATACATAAAAGTCAATTAGAACTTTAATACCATACCATAAAGTTTAAGTGTTAGTGGAGGGGTTCTGGGAAGGCAAAACAAGTGAGTAACTGTGGTAAAATGTTACTTGAAATGTAAAAGTCTCTTTGCTGTGTATCAGTACATCGTATAAAACAAAGTCGTCCCACTGTCTGTCTCTTTGTATGCATAAAAGTAAAGTAACAGGCTATACATGTCCCACAGCTGGGCAAAGGCCTCCTCTATACAGAGGGTATCAGGGCTTAGTCCACCACGCGGCCCCATTGCGGATTGGCGGACTTCACATATCTTCGAAATATATGATGTTTTCCTGCACCGCGGAGCACGTGATAAGTCGTGATAAGTTAAAAACTTCATTGGTGCCGGCACCGGGGATCGAACTCAAGTTGCTCGAGTATGTTTCTTGAAATAATAAGAATTGATAGGTATTCTTTGAGAACAGTAAAAGGATAGATCGGAAAGATAGGAAAGATACATCATTTAACAGTATGACTGTGGCAGTTTTTGATATTTGATAAATGAGCAACACGACTGATATAAAATAAAAGTGTGAAGTTATTTTTCGTGTCTTTCAGTGGGTTCGGCTACGAAATTCACTGAAAGACAAGTAGCCAATTGCCATCAAATGAATTTCATTGTCCTTTGGTGTTTTTTATCGTCCATGTCTTTTTTTTCTCCTCGTCACAATCGTCACTTACTGAGATTGCGTATTCTATCTAATGCACGAATTAATATATGCCAAGTACCCAACGCTCATTAAAATTTATAATAATTTATAGGTATGTAAGGTATGCAGTATAGGCAGTCTATCGGGGAGGCCTATGTTTAGTATATCAAAATACAGTCAAACGTGTGTAAGTAAGAACTGGGTAAGAGTCTGCGAAAAATCTTTAAGTGAGAATATTTGCCTGG